AAGCAGATATAAATGAAATACTTACAGAACCTTCCGAGCAGCTTTCAAACCATATTCCCTCTATTGTATGCGACCGTAAACCTTTGTTTACCCATTCCAGCATCTCCTTTGTAAATAAGAAAATCCAGTATATAGCACTGACATGTTAAAATCGCTGACTATACTGCACAATCCTCCACATAATTAATATGACTCAGTTGTTCTTTTGAACAAATCTGATAACGAGTAGTATTACGTGTTAACACATTCCGGAATCCAAGTTCCAGGTTGCGAACCAATTGCTCGATCGATAGACATTTACGGTTAGTCATTTTACACAGACTGACTTTGCGCGAACCCCATCAGTATTTATATTTTCATTCTCCACTCAACAATAGTAAAAAGTGCAATGTTTGCGAAAACATATCGCAACATGTTTTGCGATGACATCATCATTTTAACACGTGCAAAAGTGCACCCCTTACAATAAAAGACGCATCCGGTGATGACATCAATGTAATCTAATACAGTAAAATGCAACATTTGCAAATACATATATATAACTGCTTTGTTAGCGTAATATAAGAAATTTTTTCAAGGACATATTCGGGGATGACATCATCAATGTAACACGAGCAAAAGTGTACCCCTTGCAATAAAAGACGCATCCGGTGATGACATTAATGTAATCATACACCGCAAATTGCAGCGTCAGCAAAATTGCAAGTTTCAATATGACCTTGTCAGCGTAATATAAGAAATTTTTTTCAAGGACATTAACATATTTTGGCGATGACATCATCATCAATGTAATATGATACAATACCTGCAAAAAATGCAGCAATTGCAATTTCATATATTATAGGACCGTACATGTGATAACACAAACTGTAGAATCGAAGCCTTACACGGTCTAGCTGGGTCTTAATGCTTGTATGATTCTTATGTGAATTTATATACTACGTATGTAGTCCCACAGAAACGCGCGCCGAAAAATTTCCGGTCTTGAAACGCTAACTCTACTAAACTACCGCAGTAATATCACGAATTAAATTGACTAGCAATTTAACAAATTTTTGATGCTTATTCGCATCTTCGAAACGATCTTAATAATGATGAATAATATATTAAAATCTGTAAATAATTAATTCTTATTGCGAAAAAATATTACCTCGGCCGGGAGTCGAACCCGGATCTCTTGCAATCCAAACG